ATTATAATATCGCAATTCCAACAATTGATAATACTTCAGAAATTCATACATCATTAATAACTAATAACCATTTAATAAATGTTTTTAATAAAACATCAGCATGTGTAATTTGCAAAATTAATGATTTTTTAAATTAGTTGTGCATTAACTTCAGAAATTTTCTGAAAAAATGTATGAGATGTATATTATATATAAAAATTTTATATAAAAATTGATAAAAAAAAATTTTTCTTTCTTTATAAAAAAAAAAAATTCTAAAGTAATAGGATATTTTTTTATGAAAAATTCAAATAAAAAAAGTATAGATTACAAATATTGTAAAAATTTCATTTGAAATATTCCGTAATACAAAGTAATTCAATTCCTTCGCGACATTCGGCCGCTCGACTTACGAATGTATACGTTAATAAAAACGTTATTATCATTTAAAAGGATTGGGTTCTTATGCGACGCCAATATCGTAGTTTCAAGAACACATAGCGTAAGACTATATTCATAAATTGAACGTTTGAAGGACTTACCCAGCAATATCTTGAACGCGAGTCTGTAAGACCGTTTTCTCAAAGGGCTCTTCAGGGATCAGGCTGCACAGCAATTGCGTCGCGCTAGCAGCTACTGTACCGTTTCCGGTTGAATTGGCGGATACATCCTGAGTCTGAGCGTGGTCGTCAAAACTAGTCAGAGTCTGTGAAAGAGAAACTCGGTAGTAGCAACGAACGAATATAACATTTTCGTGAAACCGTCTTATAAAGTCTAGAAAATAATGATATGCTTTTTAAATTTTATTTTCTATCCTTTAATCCTGTATTTTTAGATAGAACGATTCGTGTATTTGGAAGTGATTAAAAGGAACATCGAAATTTCATCAATTTTCGTATCCCGTTGCAAATGGTCTCAGTTTTGGAATAGACCGATCTTAAATGTACAAAGAGAGGTAGAATTATAAAAGTAATCAGAAAGTATTTTCAACATTCTCTATCGTACATTTCGCGGAGTGTACTCAACTCTTAAAATCGAAAAATAACATCCGTGTACAAACATACGCATCATCAATATTTATTTAAAATTCAAAGAGAAGGATTTGTCAAAGAGAGTCGTATATGTACTTATAATTCTCGTGTACTTAATACGGTGAAAGAATCGCAGTGAATGAAAAGGAAAAGGAGGGAATCTAAGATATAGCGAGAAATGTGAGAACTGGAATCCATTAGACTTCAGTGTACAATTACGCGTCGCAATTAAGGTGACGAAAGGTTTGAAATGTAAAAAAAAGGATAGGGAAGAATATCATTCTCTGATCACACAGACATGCTAAATTCGACTGTTGTCAAATATTCGATATATTAAATATGGAAGAGGCAAACGAAACCACTGATATCGAAGTCATTATCTGTATTTTTTGCAAGAATATGCTCATCGAACGATCAAGGAGTCGATTTTCTCATATCATCCGTGCCCGAAGGAATTAAAGGAATTTCACATTTTTTACTAAAGCTTTTACTAGGATACCATTACACCGGTCAGCTAGTTATGTACTTAGCGTCCAAGTCGATCGACCAGACACAGCGAATTCCTAATAGGTTGAGTCATTGTTACAGGCCCGTTAGTCCCAAGGCGAGTTGGACATCACGCACACGTACACGTGCATTTAGAACGCTAAATTAGTGGTAACGAGTCAAAGGGTTTCGATAAGAATTCTGGAAACAGGAATATGGGTCCTAAACGATTTTGTCTTGGTTTCGATAAGCCGTTCGAAGAATTCTATAGAAAAGCTGTACGCTACACGTTCGTCCATTTTTATTTAATTCTGAAAAATATCGCATACAAAAATCCTATAGTATACGTTACGTATATACGATTTTTTATATTATAGATTTTTATATGCGATGTAGATTCAAGAATAGATCCCCTGAACCGTGAATATTGCTGTGTATGAAAATTACGTTTAGATTTCATTCAAAAATAAAAGCGTTTTTTTTTCTCGACTTATGATGATCGATTTCTCTGCATTTATTCCGAGTTATTCGGAATTGCTTAATTTGGATGAGGTTTTTTTCATAAAAAAAAAAACCTCATCCAAATTAAGCAATTTCTCATTTTATTCTCTACGATAATATCACAAAGAATATACTTATAAAGTTTATGAAACTTAAAGAATAAATCTGAATATTTTCTCTTTTGATTGATGTGTACACTGAGAGAAAGGATTTTGTTAATTTAAGTATCTTTAACCGGTCAATAAATATGTGACAACAAATTTTGTTATTGTTGATTGCTGCTATACCAACTAATTATTAGTAACAGAAGCAAACTATATAAAATCTAACCTATCTTTTGAATAGACTATAGGCTCGTTTATATAGAATTCGTAGATGATTGTGAGTTTTAAGTCGTAGAAAACCTGACCAAGCATAATCTAATATAGGGAGAATATTTGATTAGAATTGGTCATT